GAGGGCAGAGAGGAGAGAGGAGAGAGACAGCAGAGAGGAGGAAAGAGCAGGAAGGAGGAGAGAGAAGGAAGGAGGAGAGAGTACAGAGGAGAGAGAGGAGGAGAGAGCAGAGAGAAGAGAGCAGAGAGCAGAGAGGATAGAGGAGAGAGGAGAGCGGAGAGAGGAGAGAGACAGCAGAGAGGAGTAGAGAGCAGAGAGGAGGAGGGGAGGAGAGAGCAGAGAGGAGGAGGGGAGGAGAGAGCAGAGAGAAGAGAGGAGGAGAGAGGAGAGAGGAGAGAGGAGTGAGGAGGAGAGCAGAGAGCAGTGAGCAGAGAGGAGAGAGCAGTGAGCAGAGAGGAGAGAGGAGAGAGCAGAGAGCAGAGAGGAGAGAGGAGAGAGAGAGCAGAGAGGAGTAGAGAGCAGAGAGGAGGAGAGAGCAGAGAGGAGGAGGGGAGGAGAGAGCAGAGAGCAGAGAGGAAGAGAAAGGAGAGAGCAGAGAGGAGGAGAGAGAGAGAGAGCACAGAGGAGAGCAGAGAGATGACAGAGGAAAGAGGAGGAGAGAGGAGAGAAGAGAGAGGAGAGAGAGAGCAGAGAGGAGGAGAGAATAGAGAGGAGGAGAGAGGTGAGCGTAGGTAGGAGAGAGGAGAGAGAGAGCAGAGAGTAGGAGAGAGGAGATAGCAGAGAGGAGAGAGGAGAGGAGGAGAGATGAGAGAGGAGAGAGGAGAGAGCAGAGAGGAGGAGAGACAAGAGAGGAGAGAGGAGAGAGGAGGAGAGAGGAGACAGGAGAGAGGAGAGAGCAGACAGCAAAGAGGAGAGAAGAGAGAGGAGAGAGGAGGAGAGAGGAGAGATGAGAGAGGAGAGAGAGAGCAGAGAGGAGGAGAGAATAGAGAGGAGGAGAGAGGAGAGAGAGAGCAGAGAGGAGGAGAGAGGAGAGAGCAGAGAGCAAAGAGCAGAGAGCAGAGAGCAGAGAGGATAGAGGAGAGAGAGAGCAGAGAGGAGGAGAGAGCAGAGAGGAGGAGAGAGCAGAAAGAAGGAGAGGAGGAGAGAGCAGAGAGGAGGAGAGAGCAGAGAGGAGGAGAGAGCAGAGAGGAGAGAGGAGAAAAGAGAGAGCAGAGAGCAGAGCGCATAGAGCAGAGAGGAGGAGAGAGGAGAGAGGAGAGTGGAGAGAGGGGAGAGAGGAGGAGAGGAGGAAGAGCAGAGAGAAGATAGGAGGAGAGAGGAGAGAGGAGAGAGGAGAGAGGAGAGAGGAGGAGAGAGCAGAGAGGAGGAGAGAGCAGAGAGGAAGAGAGGAGAGGAGTGCAGAGAGCAGTGAGGAGGAGAGAGCAGAGAGGAGGAGAGGAGGAGAGAGCAGAGAGCAGAGAGCAGAGAGGAGAGAGCAGAGAGCAGAGAGGAGAGAGGAGAGAGCAGAAACGAGATAGGAGAGAGGAGAGAGGAGAGAGGAGAAAGGAGAGAGGAGCAGAGAGGAGAGAGGAGAGAGGAGAGACGAGGAGAGAGGAGAGGGAAGAGAGGAGGAGAGAGGAGAGAGCAGAGAGCAGAGAGGAGTGAGGAGGGAGGAGAGAGCAGAGAGCAGAGAGGAAGGAGCAGAGAGCAGAGAGGAGAGAGGAGAGAGGAGAGAGGAGGGGAGAGGATAGAGGAGAGAGGAGAGAGCAGAGAGGACAGTGGAGAGAGGAGGAGAGAGCAGAGAGCAGAGAGCAGAGAGGAGAGAGCAGAGAGCAGAGAGGAGAGAGGAGAGAGAGAGCAGAGAGCAGAGAGAAAAGAGAGCAGAGAGCAGTGAGGAGAGAGGAGAGAGAGAGCAGAGAGGAGGAGAAAGCAGAGAGGAGGAGAGGAGGAGAGATCAGAGAGCAGAGAGGAGGAGAGAGGAGAGAGGAGAGAGGAGAGAGGAGAGAGGAGGAGAGAGCAGAGAGCAGAGAGGAGAGATCAGAGAGCAGAGAGGAGAGAGCAGAGAGGAGAGACGAGAGAGGAGAGAGCAGGAGAGAGGAGAGAGGAGAGAGGAGAGCGCAGAGAGCAGAGAGGAGAGAGGAGAGAGGAGAGAGGAGAGAGAGAGCAGATAGGAGGAGAGAGGAGAGAGGAGGAGAGAGGAGAGAAGAGAGAGGAGAGAGGAGAAAGGAGAGAGACAGCAGAGAGGTGGGGAGAGGAGAGAGCAGAGAGGAGAGAGCAGAGAGCAGAGAGGAGACAGGAGACAGGAGACAGGAGACAGGAGAGAAGAGGAGAGAGGAGAGAGGAGAGAGAGAGCAGAGTGGAAGAGAGAGGAGAGAAAAGAGAGAGAGCAGAGAGGAGGAGAGAGGAGAGAGCAGATAGCAGAGATGAGAGAGGAGAGAGGAGAAAGCAGAGAGGAGAGAGGAGAGAGAGAGCATAGAGGAGGAGAGAGGAGAGAGCAGAAAGCAGAGAGAAGAGAGCAGAGAGGAGAGAGGAGAGAGGAGAGAGGAGAGAGAGAGCAGAGAGGAGGAGAGAGCAGAGAGGAGAGAGCAGAGAGGAGAGAGCAGAGAGGAGAGAGGAGGAGATAGGAGAGAGGAGAGAGCAGAGAGGAGAGGAGAGAGGAGAGAGGGGGAGAGAGGAGGAGAGGAGGAGAGTAGGAGAGAGCATAGAGTAGAGAGGCGGAGAGAGGAGAGAGGAGAGGGGAGGAGAGAGGAGAGATGAGAGACGAGAGACGAGAGATGAGAGATGAGAGAGGAAGAGAGAGGACAGGGGAGAGAGGAGAGAGGAGAGTGGAGAGAGCAGAGAGGAGGAGAGAGGAGAGAGGAGAGAGGAGGAGAGAGGGAGAGGAGAGAAAAGAGTGCAGAGAGCAGAGAGGAGAGAGGAGAGAGGAGAGAGAGAGCAGAGAGGAGGGTAGAGGAGAGAGGAGAGAGGAGAGAAGAGAGAGGAGAGAGGAGAGAGAGAGCAGAGAGGAGGAGAGAGGAGAGAGCAGAGAGCACAGAGGAGTGAGGAGAGAGGAGAGAGTAGAGTGGAGAGAGGAGAGAGGAGAGAAGAGAGAGGAGGAGAGAGGAGAGAGGAGGAAAGAGGAGTACTTTCAGCAGAAAAAAATAATGGAATCATGAGATTCGCAGGCAAATGGATGACACTAGAAGAAACCATCCTGAGTGAGGTAACCCCGTCACAAAAAGAGAAACATGGCATGTACTCTCTCATATATCGATTTTAGACATAGATCTGGGGAGTGCCAGCCTACAACCCTGTGGCCAGAGAGTCTGGGAAACAGAAACTTCATTTAATGGCTGTCGAAGAAGAGGCATACTCCCTTGGTTAAGTACTGAGCTGAACTCAAGAAAGCCAGTAACAGAGAGGGAAGACTGATGATCAAAGGGATTAAGACTGGGCTGGTTTAACCCCCAGAAACAGCTGACCTGACAAAGGTTAGCTCTTGAATCCCAGGCATCAGCCTGGGAAGCCAGCATGGGACTGATCAAGACCCCCGGAATCTGGGTGTCAGTGAGGAGGCCTAGGGAATCTATTGAGCCTTGGGCAGCAGATCAGTACCCATCCCAAGTATACACACGGACTTTGGACTCCCAAAGAACAATGTGAGGTGCACTCTCACCCTGAACTCTTGGGGAAGGGTCTAGGCCCTGCCCTATATGAAATGACAGACTATGGACACCCCCATGTAGGGCCTTACCCTCCCTGGGGGAATGAGAGTATAACGGGGGGGGGGAATGGGGGAAGGGCACGGGAGGAGGGGAGGGAATGGGAGAGGGACCTGGAACTGAGTTGTGAAGCAACCTAGTTTCTTATCTAAATTTAAACTGGAAAAAAAAACAAACCACTATGTTTCTACATAAAGAAATAAAGCCACACTACAATTCCTAACAGAGTAGTCTCAGATCTGAACTGCTGTGTTTCAGGCGGTGTTTGCTGGTGACGCACAGTGCAGCAATTAAGTGCAATTCAAGCTGTGCATGACCTTGTTCAGAACCAAGGCTGCAGTGAAGATACAAGACGTGCCATGAACAAGCACTTCCAGGAACATCTTAAGATTCATGATGCTGTGAGAGTTAATTCTTCCTCATGCACTCAGGCATGTCTCCGTGGATGGCTGCCACTGTTGGCCGAGGAGTGGAGGTGCAGGGTGGTAGCTTCTTGCCTCCTGGTGGAGCTGGTGAGATGAACTGAGTCAAGGCCAGGGGTGTGCATATGTTGTTCAAGGTGTAAAGCCACCGTAGACGCAGCAGAGAACCTGCTTCCTCGGCTCTTTCTTGGCTTTTGGCTGTGTGGTCCTTCAGCTTCACCGGTAGAAGATAAGAATCTTGTGGTACAAGCCTGTAATCCCAGCTGCTCTGGAGGCTAGGGTGTGTGGTCAAGGCCAGCCTAGGCAACTTAGACTTCATCTAAGAAAAAGTTGAAAGAGGGCTGGTGATGTACTACAGATGGTTGAGTGTTTGTCAAGCATGCAGGAGGTTCTAGATTCCATCCCTGATAACACAACAACACAACAACAACAAAGCTAACCCCCTTTATTTCAACCACAAGTGCTACCCTCCCATTCTGCCATTCTTCTGAGAAAGTCATCTCATAATATTGGCTAGACCAATGTCAATAAAGGTAATTTACAGTTGAAAAAAAAAGCTATTTCTCACAGTGATTTGCTATGAGTTTATTATTGATGGTGTATTACAAGAAAACAGAGTCAGATACATTTGGTTTCCTGATATCTTTTATCAAATGATTTTGTGTTTTGAATGATTTTGTTGCTCAAGAGTGTATAGAGCAATATATTTTTATTTCTCGATGATTTGGTCCTTATGATCAATTCCTGAATATGTGTCTATAGAGTACCATGTAATAGGCATAGCTAAATAGATAACAATGTGGATACAGAATGGAAACAGACTCCATCACAAAGTATCTATCCAGCTCTAAGTTCTGCTATCCACACTCAAGGCCAACAATACCTATGTGGTCGATGCTGGTTGGGAACTCACTATGTAACCCATACTGCATGGAACGTGCAGAGATCCACCTATACATGTGGGCTGTGGGGATATAGGAGTGTGACACCAGACCTGAAGAAAAACCTGCGGTTATCTGTGAACAGTTGCAAATTGCTTTATTATTCATAAAAACAATGTTTTCAAAACGGGCTTTAAAATGGTAGTCAATACCAACAGGGAATAGCCTTAACAAATTATGAAAAACAATAAGAACAAAAAAACACCAAAATAGCAAAACTATAACAAAACAACCAAAAGCAAAAATGTAAACCAAAAAGCAAAGGAAAACTGAGATAAACAGCATTCTCTTGCCACATTTTGAAAGGTACAGATATACAGCCTGGAGTTGGCTTTGCAAGGAAGACATCAATTTTAACAGGTTTTTCAGGATGAGTGTAGGATTCCTCTCTTGCATCTGAGGAGTTCAGTACTTGCGGGTGATTAGGCTCAGCAGGAGGCTCTTGCTGTAGTAGATCCTTCTGCAAGTGGCTCTCATCCTGGGCAGTGTCCTGTTCCAGCTGAGATTGCAGTTCAGTGGACCTGGGAAAGGAAAGCAGTTAAAACACAGGCGAGGTGGGAACCTGTTGCATTAAGCTCCTCGCTCCTCCACCTCAGCTGTGCTGGACAGTCAACATTGATATTTTGACTGATATCATTGGTGGTACCCACATAGAACAAAGATAACAGAGTAGCTGAGCATGCAACTTTTCCTGGTCCTAAACTCATGTCATGACTTAAGCTAAGCACTATGTGTTCTACTTTCTAGTAGAAAGAATAGGACCTAATCCTACTTTTCAGGCACAACATTTTGCAAACAGCAACAGCATAATAATACAACAGACAGCAGCGTAGGGGCAATACACACGTTCAACATGATGAGTTATTGGTTGACTACATCATTTTATACATACACATGATACAGCCTTGCTCCACGAAAGCTGATCTAGTTCATGAGGCTAGCTCAATTCTCACATCGAGGAGGTACCTTGAACATGAACAGCACATAAGATGGAGAAGCATTTCCTGAGATTGACCCTCTGAACACTTGCCCTGCCTGGAACCTAACAGACACTTTTCATGGTCTTAGGACAAGAGCTAGAAATCCACATGCTCACTCACTCTGGGAAGCTGTGACAGAACACTCCCCAAAAGGATCTAATCTTGACTGCAGCTGAGGCATCTCTTGGTTTCCACTTAGAAAGTCCTTAACCTACTCTATCAAGAGAACAATTTGCACAGGAAATGGGTAAATGTCGCAGAGAGAATTGCTCACATTAGGAATCTCTTCTCTACAGCGGAGGTTCCTAAATAAATTTGCGATTTTAATCAGACCAGGTGATGCACATTCTCAAATCCCATCACTTGGAAGGCTGACGAAGACAAATCTCTGTCAGTTCAAGAAACTCCTGCTCAGAACATAGAGAGGTCAGAAGGCAGGAAGGGAGAGAGTTCTACAGACACACTGATATCAAACGTATAGTTTTCTGGATGGAAGTTCTTGTTGAGTGAACCAGTACGTTTCTCTGAGGTGGTCTTTGCCTGGTGGTGGCTGAGAGCCATGCATGTGAGAGGAAGCCCACAAATGATACAGATCCCAGGTTCAGGGGAAACACTTGGCTCTGCCTCTTCCCCCAAGCCTGGGCTCCTACCTCATCCAGGAGACATCAAAATGATGTTGCATCTTTTCTGCCAAATCCTTATGCTGAAAGAACATCTCCTTCTGTTCCAGTAGGACCTCGAGTCTTTCTTCCAATCTCTTGAGTTCCTGTTCATTAGAAGATTGTATTCTTAAGGAGGGTGACCACTGTCATAGAGATGGACCCCAATAGCTCAATGAGCAGGATGGCCAGTAAAACACTAAGCAACCAGGGTAGTAAGAAACCCTGACTCAATGTAGAGACTGACATCAAAGCCTGTGGTCTCCTAGGCCAATGCACACATGAATGATGGACCACCATACCCACATGATTAAACTACACAAAGATATAATCTCTCCCACACTCTTTTTTCTGTCTCTGTCTATTTCTCTCTCTCTCTCTCTCTCTCTCTCTCTCTCTCTCACACACACACACACACAGAGCACATACACACACAACACATACACACACACATGCACACAGAAAACACATACAAGAAGAGAGAGGGGGGGAGAGAGGGAAGAGATAGGGAAAAGGGGGTCTGGCAGAAAGAAACAACATGATAGATGAGCAGGTGAATTCAGACTAAACATTCCAACTCTTTCAGGGGAGCCTCACAACTCAGCCAGCATTCCATGGGGCCGAATACTACTGTGGATGATGTGGTATTTTCTCATATCCATTATATTCAGCTCATTAGAGAATTTTTCGCCTGAAGGCTCACATCTCCCAACTTCCACCATCAGCTTGTCAAAATCTCCCAGCTGATCATCCAATCAACCCAGACTAAATTGTGATGGATGGGGAAAATGTCTGTCACCAAACAGAGATGACAATCTGCTACTGATGACAATTTGTCACTATGTAGTCACAGCTGGGCAAATGAAGACAACACATTTGGAAGCAGGAAAGAGAAGAAAGTCACATGTCACCCAAGCCATTGACTATGAAGCAAACATTTGTCACTTGCATGGGCTTCTCCTCCTTGCAAACTGATTCCCACTGTGATGTCACAATAGCTCTGCCAAGAAATGAATCTAAGGAACCAGAGCTCACTCACTCCAAGTTCTGTGCATAGAATCCTAACTATTATCATGACACATACCTGTGTGATATGTTATTGACCTATCCCTGTCACTGGACTGCAGCTTCAAGCAGAGCAGGAGGGATGATATGCCAATTATCCAGTTTCTTAAGAGGCTAACTCGGCAGAAGTCTTGTACAAGGACACTGAGCTGAATACTCTGATGTCATGAGTAGTTGACTGGATGGGAGCATAGAGGAGTAACTGGTGTGAGAGCACAGATGGGTGGGTGGACAGACAGCAGTCAAATGGCCAAATGGAGGAGACCTCCATCTGCACCACATCCCTGCCCCTACCTGTTGCTGGATTTTCAGGTCACTGCTCTCTTCATCTTGGTCTTTAACATTCAAGTCCTCCAAGTGGTGCTTAAGCAGGACCCAATCATCGTGCAGTTTCCTTTTCTCCTGCCTCAGCATGTCCACCTTCTTGTGCAGCTGACTCTCTTCCATCAGGAGCCGGCTGTGCAAACCTCTGGAGACACTCTGCATGGTAAGGCCCTGCAACCTCCCTCTGCCACGCCTGCCTCCAGGAACCACCACCCCAAATGGCCTCATGCTTCCAGGAAGACACAGCCAAGAGTCTCATACAGCGGTGACAGCTGTACTCAGGAGGTCAAAATGAGGGAAAAGCTACTACCAGACATAATCAATCTACTACGGATAACCCCAACACCAAAAGGGATCCATGTCCCTTGAATAGAAAGTGGACTCCCCTACCTGTCCAGGATAAGAGGAAACATCAGCAAGTAGTGGGCAAATACCCTCCAAGTGAGGACAGGAGACCCAAGGTGAATATCTACAGGTTCCACAGCCACCAGACCTCTAAGGCCTTGGCCTGAACTCCAGAGGCCCAGGGCTTCCTGACATGCTCCTCACAGTGCAAATTGCATTTCTATCTAGAGGGTCCTGAGGCCCTAGGACAATGGTGGCAGGGGCTTTCAGTCTCTTTCACACTTAGCAAAACTGAGTCCAAGAGACACATATCCAAGAGTTACTTGCTAAGGAGCAGAAAGGCTAGAACCATAGCTGTGGGCTCTCCAGTCCAGAGAAAACAGAAGGCAGAGGTGGCCATTCCACAACTCATGGGGTCCAGGCCAAGATGGGCTCTTACCGATAGAAGACTGTCTCCTTGTTCAGCTCACTGAACTTTTCTGAGACCTCAGTTTTCTCCTTCTCAAAAACCTTTAGTTCCCACAGGACCTGTTTGTGCTCCAACTTCAGTTTCTCATAGAATGGATTTGGCTTGTGGTAGGGTCTAGAAACAGAAGGAAAGAATCCATGACCACAGGCCTCAAGTGTCATGTGAACTCAAGTTATATCCTGGTCTGCCACAGCCCAGTGGATGCCACATTCTGACTGCTAAGTACTGGAACCTCCTGGTGCTTTTAAAACTTGCTATCCTGCCCCTGAGACAGCAGTGGCTGGGTGTCCAGATGGAGGTTGCCCTGGATGCAGGAGCTCACAAAGGGTTTGTGGATCTAGCAACTATGTTACCAGGAGTCTATGACTGAGGGCTTCACACTCCAGATACTGCAATGAGGTCTCTCGTGATTAAGAACAGTGATTCTATGACACAGGTGACCATTGCCGATAAGTTACAGCACGTAATTCTCGGGTTGAGACCAAACACTAGGACAGCTATATAAACTTCCCAAGGGTTTGCTAGGTGCCCCCATGGTGAGACGTTAGGACAAGAATGTTGATGCTTAAGTGGGGTTCCCACACCTCAGCAGTATCATAGCCTGGAAACTGATACAGGAAAATCCTCAGGCCCCAACATTGTCCTGTTTCCCAGATTCTTTCAGTATACACAATCCTGCAAATGCATGTGTGAACACATGAGGGAGAGAGAGAAGGGGAAGGAGAGTGACAGGGAGATGGGGAGGGGGATGAGGAAGAGAGAGGGGGAGGGTGCAGAGGGAACAGAGAGAGCAAGGGAGAGGGGAGAAGACAGCAGGAGGGAGGGAGGGAGAGAGAGAGGGGGAGAGAAAGAGAGAGAGTGAGAGAGAGAGAGAGAGAGAGAGAGAGAGAGAGAGAGAGAGAGAGAGAGGAGAGAGGATGTGAGGAGACACAGAGAGGAGGAGCAACCATAATCAGCTGCTAAAGTACTGTGTGGAGCACTATTGTATTGTCTAAGAGTGTAATGCACAAAACCAGAGAGAAACAGTGATGAGTCCTAGGACTCCTGGTACCACACTGAGAAGGACCAAGTGGAACCGTGCCTGCCAAGCTGCTACCACCAAAACTCACAAATGCATGCTGGGAACTCACACGTTACCGACTCAATCCCTGAGTTATGTGACTGAGACCACAGGCTATGGTTTTCATTTGGAGAAGGCAGTGAAGTTGGAGTCCCCATCTCACTCCCTCCAAACCAAGAAATTAGGTCATGAGATGACTACAGAGTAACTATGGAGGTGCAGCCTTCTAGAACCTAAGTACTTTTTTTTAATCAAAAGTTTGGTTTTATTTAAACAGCATATTTTTATTAATTTTCAATACGACCCCCAGTTTGCCCTCTGTCCTACTCTCCAGGTCTCCCCACATAACCCTGCTTCCTATCTCCTCCTTCTGGTCCTCCATCATCTCCACTCAGAAGGGTGCCAGCCTCCAATGGTCTTGAGCAAAGGATTGAGCTCCTTGCTTTGCATCAAGGCTACGTAAGATAATCCAGCATGGGGAAGAGGTCCCAAAAGCCAGCTGAGCTCCAGGGACAGGTCTTGATCTCACCTCCAGGATCCTACATTGACACCAAGTTACACCACAGTCACACACATGGAGAGGGGCTAGGTGAGTTCCATGTAGGCTCCCTAACTGTTGTCCAGAATCCGTGAGCTCCCATGAACTAGTCAGCTGTCTCTGTGGAACACAAGACCTCAAAAGAAAGGAGGGGAGGGTGAGTGTGGACAGTTCTGTGCAGTATGAAACAACGGATACCTATTATCCACAGTTCCTTCACTGATGAAGAGCAGGCGATCTCGCAGCTCATTCCTTTGGTTGGTCATCAGCTGCAGCTCTGTGGTCATCCTCTCTATTTCCTTCTTCACTTGTTTCTTGGTGAGGAGCGCTGGCTGGGATGAAGGCTCCGTAGGAGCCTCTGTGGGTAGGTGAATACAAGTGAAATTGCCTGGTGACAATGCACAGAGAATGGATAGACCACCCTGAGGTTCAAACAGAAAGATCATGTCTGGACTCCAGGGACAATCCAATAATTTTAGGTCAGGTTTGGATGCCCCCTGTGTGGATCACAGCTCTCCCAACACTCTGTAGAGATGTGGTTATATAAGCGGTCAGGGGTTTACTCTATCTCCCTACACATGCCTCATGTGAACACAGAGACCACCTTTCAGGATTAATTACAGTGACACCGCATGCAGCATGGTCCAGAGCCCTGAAGCCTGCCTGTCTTTTCAAAAGCCAGGAGACATGGCAAAGTGCACACGCACTGAGGAACTTTGAGGAGCCGAGAACTCCTGCCCGTTCATTCCAGGTCCATGGATGAGGACTGGAAAGTCACGCAGGGACACAACATGGTCAAAAGATTCGCCAAGTCACCCCACACCACTGATGGCCCAAACCATGGAAGCTGGCATGAAGGAGACCATTGCTGCCCTGGAGGCATACTCTGACAGTTGTCTGACTACTTTAGAGTACTGACTATCACCCTCAACTGATGATTCAGTAGCCTAAGGGGGCTGCTGTCAGGTAGATGTGAATAGAGGAGTTCTGCTGTCTGAGGACATGAAGTCTTAGCCAGAAGTACTCTTCTCTCCATGTGACTGGTGTCAGACAGCCACTGCACCCAAAGGAAACTGCTGAGCATGAAGTGTAGTGATGCCTGCCCAAATCTGGGGACACATCAGTGCCTACTGACTCCAGGTGGTATCCCGTTGTCCCCACATTACACTACCGAGTGTGCTAAAGGTAAACGCTAGGTGACCCCACACAACACCCTTGTCCTTGCCCGGTCCTGCCATAGGGAACAGACAAACTCATGTTCTGGAATCATGGACTATCCGGAACTATGATAAATCCGTTTACTTCCCAGAGGGCACAGCTTCTCTGTCCCATTACTGGAAGTCCCAGCTCAAGACCACCTCCCCCAGGAACCTCCCCATCCCCTGCCCAGGACTCACTGTGCCTAAGCCAGGACCATTTCCTTCTTCCTGCTTTATTATGAGACCTAACAGCAGCTTCTTTCTGCCTCTCTCTAGTCTCTGGATGTTCTCCACGTTCTCTCACAAACGGAGACCTCAGTCTTGACAACATCTCTAAGGATAATCCAGAGTCACTGAAGTAATGTCCTAAATGCAGTTGGTGTTGCTACAACACTGGTGACATCACGGAATGCCAGGAGCTCTCCAAGATACAATAGAATGCCCAGGGAAGGGCCTGCTGATGTCATGGAGAACAGCCTTTGCCACCCTGCTGATTATCATTCCATGAATGAACCAAAATCCCAGAGTCACTTTCCAGGACCCTGCCTTGGAATATAGGGTAAGCCATCCAGCAGCTCCTCCTTCCAAATGCAGAGTTTCCTTAGCTTGCATGGAAGCCCCATAGTGCTTCCCATGTGGAGAACTTAGTAGACACAGTCCACCATGGTGGTCACTGGGAGCAAACCCCATAGGACCCCTTGGTTATCACAAGGAGCAGATGCCCAAGAGCCCATACGTCTCCACCTCATTAAGCTGAACACTGCTTGGGAATGACAATATGATACTTACTTGATTGGAGATGAGATAATCTGCATATTGACTCAGATCTGATAGCAGAATTTCAGCAACTCGCTTTTCATGTTTTAAAACTAAACTATGGACACGGACTCAGTGTGGGGAACTGGTGCCCACTCCCTTCCATGTCCCTGTGTAAAGCCCTCTCTCAGCTTTGGTGAGTTGCACTGAAGGATGGTGGTAGTCAATTTGAAATCACCTCATAGAGGCCTCTACAGGTACTGGGAGGGGTAAAAAGTCCCCAGTCTGTGTCCCCCAGGCAGCAAGGTCATGGCTGAGACCCCTGCAGACCACACATGGGGATGGGAACCACTGCAAGAACCAGAGCAGCACCCACCATTCCAAACCCAGCAGGACTCACAGACCAAGGCGCACTGGAGCCTGCCTGAGAGAGGGTACTGTGTCTGGGATCACCCAGAGAGACTTTCCTCCCTTCCTATAGATGGAACAAAATGACCTGGAACAGCTGCCTGTCCATCCTTTGGCATCAGAGCTCAGAGAGGGGTCTAAGATAAACTTCCCAGAGACCAGGTATCCTCATTCCCAATCACAGTTGTCTCACCATTTACACACTCATTGCGTCACTCACTATTCTTTTCCCTGCCCCCGTTGTGCCAGGTTCAAGACCAGGAGCTGGAGACAAAGTGGTGACCAAACTTCTTCTCCACGGAAAACAGGGACCAGTGGAGAGGGGTTGTTAGGGGGGATTCCTGGAGGAGGCAGCAAGGACCAACAAGAGAAGAGGCACCCTGCCAGTGGGGACAGGCAGAAGTAGTGGCTAAGCAGGACAGTGCACTCCAGGAAAAGTTGGAAAATGAGAGGCGGCCTCTTGGTGGAGGCTGGAGTACAGACAGCCATGTGGGACAAAGACTGGGAGCACAGCCTAAGGATATTGTTCACAACTGCTGTTCCTTGTAGGGCTGGGGAGGATCATCAGAAGAAACAGGAATGCCCCCACTTTGACTGGTATAGGACCTAGACGTCTCACTTCACTGGAATGGTTTGGCACTGCCAGGAGGGAGAACCTGGCCTCCAGCAGAACCCAGCTACCAGATAAGGCCCTGATGGCACAGGGAAAATAGCTATTCTCCAGACATGAAACATATCAGCAGGAGCAGTTTATGACCATAAAACCCTGCCATTAAGGCACTCCAGGACTTGTGCTCTAAAGGAGCTAGTCTCTACTTGCTAATGAATTTAGCTCATCTAATGAAAAAACATCTCAAGATGTCTACAGAAGTAACTGGAATAGTTTGTGAGCTCAGTTTCATAGCACTGAAACATTTACGAACATTTGTTTTTATCACTGGCATTTAATTTATCTATTTTGGGGCGGTCAGAATATAGGATGATGTGGAGTGTGTGGAAGTTGGAGGACAGCTTACAGGAGTTGGTTCCACTGTGTGATTCCTCGGGATACAATTCAAGTCACCAGACATGTATCATTATATCATGGCAGCCACAGTCACTCTCTGATAAAATTTGTTGTGGGCTTTTGAGTTTCAAGTACAGTTTGAAGCTGTGTTATTTACTCATGCCAGTAATCCCAGCACTTGGGAGACTAAGGCAGGAGGATCTCTATGAGTTTCAAGCCAGCCTTTCAATGTCATCCCTAGTTACGTGCTAAATAGCAAGTTTGAGACCAGCCTGGGCTACATGAGAAGTCTAGAATAAAAAGAAAAGGAATAATGAAGAAAAGAAAATTAACATTTTCCCCATTGCAGTCTCAGTGGGTATATCAATCACACTTTAAGGCTGACCCATTCTGGGGAGACACTGGACAACACAAAATTATCTTTTTGGACGTTTTGTTTCATATTGCTTTACTTTGCCTTTTTGGGGTGGGTTCTTCTTTGCGTTTTGATTGTTTGATTTCCAGTTTTAAGTTTCTTACTTTTGTTTTTGGATTTTTTTGAAAGAGAAAGAAGAGCATAATATTGGGTGGGGAGGGAGGTGGGGGAGATACAGGAGGAATTGGGAGAGAGGACACTGTGATTAAAATATATCGTGTGAAGTGTTTTTCCATTAAAAGAATTAAAAAAGGAATACCCGATACAATCATCGAGTACTCAAAATGCCCTCTGTTATGTATATCAGAGAGGTATGGTAGTGAGCTTACCTGAATTAAAACTTCCCAATGGTAGTGGTTTTCCTTTTTGCAGTTTTATGCAGGTCCATATCTTGTATTACTACTTTTTTATCCTTGACTAGATTATTTTATTCTTTTTTTGTTCCACTATATTTTTGAATTTAAATTAGGAACATGTTTGCTTCACATGTCAATCCCAGCTCCCTTGCCCACCCCTCCTCCCAGCCTCCCCATTCCTTCACCCAATCCCCATACCATTGCCCAGGGAGGGTGAGGACCTCTATGGGGGATCTCCAGAGTCTGTCATTTCATCCAGGGCAGGACCTAGGTCCTACCCCATGTGTCCAGGCTGAGAAAACATCCCTCCATGTGGAATGGGCTCCCAAAGTTCATTCATATGTCATGGTAAACACTGATCTACTACCCAAGGCCCCAGAGATTTCCAAGGCCGCCTCACTGACACAACATTCAGGGGGTCGAGATCAGTTCCTTGCTGGCCTCTCAGCCATCAGTCTTGGGGTCCAAGATCAGATCAGCTGTCTTTGTGAGTTTCACCAGCACAGTCTTGACCCTTTTGCTCATCAACCCTCCCTCTCTGTCATGGGGTTCCAGAAGTTCAGTTCAGTGTTTAGCTGTGGGTATCTGCCTCTGCTTCCATAAGTCATTAGATGAAGGTTCATGTTTGTCTTTTTGTGACTGGGTTACCTCACTCAGGATGGTTTCTTCTAGTGTCATCCATTTGCCTGCAAATTTCAAGATTCCATTGTTTTTTTCCATTGAGTAGTACTCCACTGTGTAAATGTGCCACATTTTTTCTATCCACTCTTCAGTTGAGGGGCATCTAGGTGGCTTCCAGGATCTAGCTGTTACAAATAATGCTGCTATGAACTTAGTGGAACAGACATCCTTGTTGTATGAATGTGCATCTTTTGGGTATATGCCTAAGAGAGGAATTGCTGGGTCTTGTGGTAGACTGAGTCCCATTTTCCTTAGGAATTTCCATACTGATTTCCAAAGTGGCTGTTCAAGTTGGCACTCCTACCAGCAGTGGAGGAGTGTTCCCCTTTCTCCACATCTTCTCCAGCATAAGCTGTCATTGGTGTTTTTTATTTTAGCCATTCTAACAGGAGTAAGATTGTATCTCAGAGTTGGTTTGATTTGCATTTCCCTAATGGCTAAGGATGTTGAGCACTTTCTTAAGTGTAACTCAGCCATTTTAGACTCCTCTATTGAGAATTCTCTATTTAGTTCTGTACCCTGCTTTTTAATTGGATCTTTTTGTGTTTTGGAGAATTGCTTCTTGAGTTCTTTGTAAATTTTGGAGATCAGCCCTCTGTCAGATGTAGGGTTAGTGAATATCTTTTCCCAATCTGTGGGTTGCCGTTTTGTCTTGCTGACTGTGTCCTTTGCCTTACAGAAGTTTCTCAGTTTGAACCAAGATAGTCAAAACGACCTGCTCAACAAAGCACTGTCCAGAGGCATCATCATCCCTTACTTCAAGCTCTATTATAGAGCTATAGTCCTGAAAACAGCTTGGTATTGGCATTCAAATAAACAGGTAGACCACCGGAATCTAACTGAACACCCTGACATTAACCCATACATGTACGAACACCTAAAGTTCTACAGAGAAGCTGACATTATACAATGGAAAAAAGAAAACATCTCCAACAAATGGTGCTGGCATAACTGGATGCTGACATGTAGAAGACTGCAGATAGATCCATGTTTATTGCCATGCACAAAATTTAAGTACAAATGGATCAAAGACCTCAACATAAATCGAGCCACACTAAACCTCTTAGAAGAGAAAATGGGAGGTACCGTTGAACAAATTGGTACAGAAGACAGCTTCCTGAACATAACCATAATAGCCAGCAATGTTTCAACATGGCTTCACCTTCAGTTACTAGCCTGAGGTTTTTCTTCCCCTTGAGGTCCCTCGATGATTGGATGTAGCCTGGCAGTGCCAGCCAAACAAGCCTATTCATCACATCAGTTGCTTTTGGTAGAAGAATTGAATCACAGTAACAGAAAATAAATTTAGAACAAAAAATGGTAGCCTTAAAATGAGGTTATTGCTGTAAAAATCTGCGAATGTTGTATTTTGTAGGAATGCAGAAGCCATGCAGAACTCTGGATATCAAAAGCCATTGTAAGCTCTACACAGATCTTAGTGGGCCATTCCCAGAGGAACTGGGAGATGAGAGTGCTGAGAGTAATTTAGATAGTAGAGATCAAGGTCATGAGGGGTCAGTGAGAAATACACTCCATAATCCACCATATAAACAAGCTGAAAAACAAAAATCACATGATCATCTCACTAGACGCTGAAAAAGCCTTTGACAAATCTAACACCCCTTCATGATAAAGGTCTTGGAGAGATCTGGGATAACAGGGACATACTTAAACATAATAAAAGCTATATACAGTAAACCAACAGCCAACATCAAACTAAATGGACAGAAACTCAACACAATTCCTCTAAAATCAGGAACAAAACAAGGCTGTCCACTCTCTCCATACCTTTTCAACATGGTACTTGAAGTTCTAGCTATTGCCATACCACAAAAAAGGGGGATCAAGGAGATACAAATTGGGAAGGAAGAG